CCCCAAAACCCCAAAACCCCTAAGCTAGAAAGAGGAAAATGAGTAATGATAATTAAATAAAGTTTGCTTTACTACAAATCATTCTTTCCTGCATTTTACCTTAAAATGCTAATTCATATTATCTCTGGCTTTTTGTCTGTTTCACTTCTCTACTATTATTTCTGCTCAATATATTTAGCCTACTCTTCTTCATCCTTTCGCTTGATATCCTCTAATCTCTACTTGTACTCATTAAGATGCTATTCTTTGATCCCAAACATTTTGTAGTAAATCTTGTTTTAAAAGTTAAGAATATGATGTCTTCCATAGAAATAGCCAACTGGCACTACGAAAAGCATTGCTGCTAGTACTGTAACTTCAATGAAAGCTCTTGCATTATTCTATTTTGACATTTTATTACTTATAAGTTAATGGTAATTATTATTTTGTAATTATTAAAGCAAGTGTGACTGTAAGTTGAATTTATAAATTAGATTTATTTAAAAGAAGAATAATTAAATATGAATTAAACTTCATTGACAGCAGCAGCCACTGCTACCAAGTAGAAGTAGATGGCTCCCTCTACGGATCTCATGAGATCCTTCAAGGCTACCACTAATTTGGCTTTAGGTCTCACGAAGGAGAGAATGAAGATCCAGCATGATTTACAAAAGATTTCGCATGGTATGTATTGAAATCTAATTTGCTTTATTTGCCTATCTCTTACATAAATCTAAGTTAAAATTCTCTATAGGCAAGGAGCAATTAGAGGAATTGAAAAAGATGAAGAAGGTGAAGGAGCCATTCCTTACCGCAGAGGAGAAGGCCTCTAAGTAAAATAAATAAGAAATCAAGGGAACTGGTAAGTGCAGTCAAGTTTATTGAAATTAATAATATATAATCTTTTCTATTTGCTTATTTGTAACCTCCTATTGCTAGGTTTTAATCTGCAGATGTTTTAATCCGAAAAGGGATAGATCATGATTGAGAACCAAAGAGACTCTAGGCGTCAAAGACATCTCGAAGCACTAAAGGAGTGTGAGAAATTCGTAGAGCAATTTTATGATAATTTCGCTGAAAGAAAGAATGAGATCCGTGAAAGAGTCAAAGTGTTTTTCGCAGGGTCAGACGTAGAGATTGGCAGAATAATGGGCGGACTCACTGATGACTTGCTTCTAGCTAATGAAATTAACTATGTTAATGGATAGTGGGAGAAAGTATCGCAACATAGAAATGCTAGAAAGGAAGAACTTTAGCACTTAAGAGCAAGTTTTGATGATTTAAGACAGTTCCAGAAGAAGGGGTCTGGTGGTTATCTCGACAATATGAGAGCTAATCTAGTCAATATAGCCTTTTTCCTAGAACCAGAGGTCGATCAACTTATCAAGGAATGGGTAACCAAGGAAAATGACAGATACAACAGTGAGCATCTCTCTAATGACTAATTTTATGAGGATTTAGCACTCTAAGAAAAAGAGAAATTCGACACTCTGTACTAATAATGGAAAGATAAGGTGGTGAGATTTCACTTGTTGAAGCAGGAAAACGCAATTGAATAGTTCATTGAGAGATTAGAGTCTAAGGAATTTGTAAATCCTGACTCTAGAGTGCAGATCTTCACAAACCTAAAACAGAAGCAATATCAAGTGTTTAACTTGAGAATGGATCTGATATCACAATTAGATAACACTAAATCAGTTGGCATGACCAAGGATTTCGTCAATTCCATTGATGATAGGCTTAAAGCAATAAATGATGATGCTCAATCTGCTTTCGATGATTTGGTCCAGAAACTTAACAAGGACATGGAAAATACGAATGAGGATCTCGATATTGCACTTTATGATCTCAAGGATTTCTTATCCAAAAATGATGCCTAACTTGAAGAGGGCTAGACCTTTGAGGGCATTATAGCTGATAAAGCTACTCCAACACTAGAAAGAAGAAAATTAGAGGGTAAGACTCTCATTCTTAATGCAGTTAAGTATCTTGATGATTACGACTTCAAAATGAATGAAACTTGCACTAACATTGTGAACTTCTTCAGAGAGCTGGCAACTAAGATCGATGCAAACAAAGACAAGCTCAAGCAAACTGAAATTAATTTCCAAGTGACACTTGCTTCATGTGGTGATCAGAGTGATGAGATCATTTAATAGCAAGAGGATGATTTGGATGCTAAAGTTGAGCAAATGAGAAGAGCTATTCATCACGTTGAACTGAATGAAAAATTGCAACAGTGCTTCGATATGCTAGATTAGATAACAAGATCTTACAGAAATTACAATGCAGACTATATTAAACTAGTTGAAGCTCACCCACAAAGCATGAATGTATTCTTTAACGACTTTGAGAAAGATTGTATGACTGTGTTCAGGATGTAAGATGAATCAAAGAGAGCTGAGATTTAAGTATTATTCCAAAAGGAGACAGAAGAGAGATAAAAAAAACTAGAAGAAGAAGCACTGAAGAAATTAGAGGAAGAAAAGAAATAGGAGGAGGCTAAAAGAGCTGAAGATGAAAAGACTAAACCAGCTGCAGCTAAAGGAAAAGCACCACCCCCTCAAAAGAAAGGTAAGGAACCAGACAAGCCAGTACTAAACGTTCCTTAGTTACAAGTACCATAAATTTAGGAATATAATTCAGTCAATGGCAATAAATATCTAATTGAAAGGACACTTGATGAAATCACAACAAAGATCATGGATGTAAACTAGGAAACCCAGACTGATTAGCCAAATTAGCAAGATGGTGGAGAGCATGCTAATCCAAATCAACCGGTTGCTTAGCCAAACTCTCAACTTTCTTATATGGGAGAGCAATCAACAGAAAAAGAACCAGTTAATCAAGAGTCTAAATTTAGAGACAATGATTATTAAATTAAAGCTAACATGAATCCACCTCAAGATCCTGATGGAAATGATACACTTAACAGAGATCTGCTAATAAATAAAAATGAGATTATAAGAATACTTTAATCTGCAAGAGACAAATGCTTCGAATGGCTTGGCCAAGAAAAATCAAACTACTAAAAGAAAGTTTAAAGAGAGAGTAAGGATCTGATTGATAAGAATGTGGATGAGTTGGATGAAAATCTAAGAAAGCAATGGCCGAGAAAGGGAAGACTTGAAGTTGAAGTATATCAAGAAAGAAAAGCTTAAATCACTGCCCATAATAAAAAATATGAGAGGCAAGTTAGGAGCTGCCTGGAAAAGTATAACCTTCTCGAGGAACAGTGGGAATATGTAGTTGAAACTATAGAAAAAGAGTTCGCTAATTATCAAGTATAGTAAGATAGACTCAGAGGTGCTCTACCTGATGGTAAAAACCTTGCTGAACTATAAGGAGTATCTAGAAAAGAGAAAGATTCCTGCCAAACTTTTGAAGAGAAATGTAGGGAGTATCAAGATAAATTATATGACATTGCAGTTACATAACCAGATATTCTAATTCTGTAGAACAAAGAAATGTTAGACTCTTGCGTGCTTTTTGAAAAAAGAGGTAACTACTCAAGACCAGAGGTTGAGTGGTATAGAGGATAGATGAAGGAGATTGATAACATGATCAAGTAATCTAAAGCTGACAGAGATGCAAAACTAAAAGATGTTCACTCAAGAATGGAGAAATTGATGAAGGAACCATTGGATAAATTTGAAAAAGATTACAAAGGCAGCATTCATAATCTTAGTGCTAAAGAAGGTCTAGGTAAAACTTATGGTCAGCCAAGAAGACTTGCATAAGAGAGACTAAGAAGTGAAATGACTAAATGTGAAACAGCTCAAAAGGGTATTGAGCAATTAATTGAGAAACTTATGTAATTGTGTGCCAGATCAAAGTCAGACTATTCTGATAACTTTGATTACAATAAGGAAAAGCAAAGTCTTACAGTTGAGATTAGAATCAATTTAGTTTCTCTGATAAGATGCATGATTCATTATGGTGTGCACTTAGCTGGATTTATTAAAGAGCCAAAATAAGTTCCAAGGTTAACCTATATTGAAAAGTAAGCTGAAGTCGAACTTACTGCTTCTGAACAAGGTCAAGTAGATGAGAAACGTAGAGATGAGGAGTTAGAACATCTTGGAACTCTAGGGTTCAAAAATGCAGCATAGTTAAAATTCCCAGAAATGTGCTAGCAGATAGAAAAGCAATCAAAAGATTTATGCGTTAAATTGTACACTGGAGAGAATGCCAAATACTTAGTAGGACCGGAGAAGATTCCTGAATATCTAACCTCCTTCTTTGAGGGTATGAGATCATAAGCAGAGGGATTTAGATTAGGATCTGTAAGGTAGCTTAGAGAGTCTGCTCAAAAGTTGGTTGAATTTTCCTAAGAAGTGCCAACAGCAGTCTTTGGATATCTATATAGAAAATATACAACAATCATTTAAAAAGAACTAGGTGTAGAAGACAAAAAGTTTAGAACAATCAAGAAGAACGACGATGAAACTAAAGAAAAAAATCTTAAGTTATTCAGGCCAAATCTAGAAAATCCAGCAAATAAGTCTTTAACACTGGAGTTGAATCAGAAGGAGCAAGAAAGGACTGAGTAGTTTAAAGAAATAATAGATGAGACTCAGCTTAAGATGCTTGATGTGGAGCAAGATATTTCAATTGACTTCCATAATGCCTATTTGAACAACATGAGGGCAGTTCTTAAGATATTTGACTGCTTGCTCTATAAAGAAGACTTTATACTTCTGCCTGGTGATGAAATTGTTGAAAAGAAGCACTAAAATATAAAAATGCTTACTGCTTAAGCCTAGAAATAGGATTTATCGAAAAGATCTACTAGGAAATGGCCAGGATTAGGGCCATCTATCTTTGAGATTGATTTTGCCTCTCTGTTTGATCACTATAAAGACCTTAAAGCTGAAGAAATTCCAGTATAATAGCAACCGCCTCCTCAAGCGAATTAAAAAGGTGTAGATCCAAATCTGATTTAGCAGGACCCAAATAAAAATGAGATAGCAACAGAGATAGACATTCCAAACACAGAACATCACAAAATGATAATAAAAGCTAGAAATGAAAACTATCAGCAGTTCAAATAAAGGTTTGAAAGCAGTATTTAGCAATTGATGCAAAAATTCGATGGACTTAGAAAGGAGGAACTTAGATTTAACTCCTATTGGGCTCAAAATCTAAAGGAAATTACACAAAAGCATATATGACTACACATACAGATTGATAAATCTTAATTATTTAATAATATGCCCTTGAATCATCGATTCTCTTCTCATGGGGTTTTGGGGTTTTGGGGTTTTGGGG